TACTTACGTAAACGCAAGAGACATGTATGGCAGAACAGCTATGTTCTCTGCAGCTACAACAATTGATGATAGTAAAATGTTTGAAGTTATAGCGACGATGCTTGTTCGCAAGGGGGGTGTTGTAGACGATACCGATAATAAGGACATGAGCGTTTTATCGTATTTCGTTGAGAGACATTGTTGCAACAGTTTTAAGGATAACAGAAATGTTTCAAAAAGACTATCATTTTTTATCAAGAATGGCATACGTAATTCAGCAATCTTCACCTCAGCATTGAGCTATTTGTATGCTACATTACCAAACTACTTCTACAGTTCCAATACAGTGGATAGAAGAGAGATGTTTCTGAATGCTATATCTGTTGCATACACATACGCTAGTCATGAAGTGCAATCTATTGACACCTTGAATGCACTACTCGACGACGAAAGAATACCAGAAGCAATGGATTTAATGGTGATGTTAGGTGTCAATCCCAATTGTGCCGATTCGTATGGAAATACTGCCCTTCATTATGCTACTCTGCTTCCATTTCATGGGGTATCACAAGAGAACGCAAAGAAAATCCTCGAGACGCTTAGAAACCATGGGATACGAACCAACATCAAAAATCAGGAAAAAGAGACACCTCTACATTTCTGTCTTTCAGAACAAGCATGGAAACTAGCAAGCGAGAAAGACACATGGAGTGGAATCATGACAGTGGTAGAGATTTGTGAGTTTCTTCTTCAAGATGGATCGCTCATAAGTGAAACAACGAGAAATGGAAAGACTGTGTATCATTTGATTATGGAATTGTTATCACATGGACTGTCTATGAATGACGTGATAATTCGAGATGTGATTTGCTCAAGTTCAGTTAAACTTCTTAAAATGTTTTCCAAAATAACTGGCGAAGATTTAAATGTCTTAAAGAAGATGGATCACAAACTTAAGTCTCCCCTACATCTTTGGGCTTCTTTATCTCTGCCGCCAAATCAAAAATACTATAGAGATCCTTTAACGAAAGGTTTCACTTTTCAAGTTCTTCTTGACAGCATATTCAAGCACTTATGGAAACCCGGAATGTCGCCAAACCCAAGGAATGATCAAGATCAAACACCTCTTCATCTTTGCAAGACTTGGACAGCAACCAGACTCTTAATAGAAGCAGGAGCAAAAGCAAATGATGTTGATGGAGAAGGACAAACTCCTCTCTTAAATGTTGCAAAACAGAAACAGTTCAAGATTAAACAGGGTTATCTATTTCCGGACGTTGAGGAAGACCCAAAACAGTTCTTCGAAACGTGTGTGTCATTAGGTCTTGATATATGGAGTTCTGACAATGAAGGGCAATCCATGCTTAGTATCTTCCTGGATTCCGAGGCTTATGCACTGGCCAATGGTTTGATCGATGTTGCTGTTGCAAATTGTAAATCAACCACAATCGTAAAACAGTTGCTGGATGCTATTTGCAAAGATCAGTCCACAAGTACRACTTGGAAAAGTCTTCTTACTTTAACGCTTATAACCTCACCACAACTTGCCTCTAGCACCAATCTCGATGGTTCACTCCGCCACATTTGCACAAACATCGAAAAGGAGGTACTGGGACAGAAGCAAGAACAGCGTGTTGGAATTGAAGAAGGCAATGAATCTGAAGAGCCCCCAAATAAGAGACCGAGAATTGTTGATACTGAAAATCGCAGCACGCCGAAATCGAATGTCATTTTTGATATTGGAAGACAGCTACTGTTTTATGGAGCCGATGGCAACAGTTTGTGTAACGATTTCCCAAACCTTCACTCCTTTTTGACGGCCGTAATTACTCCAGACCAAATGAAAGAGATAATTCCATGGACTTCTCATTCCACAATACATGAAGAGAAGCTTAGAGCAGTCTCGAGAAAGCAAAATGTTGCTGAGATAGGTACCTACTACTATCATGAAGAGCCAATAGGTAAAGGAGGCTTCGGCGACGTTTATGCTGGAATAGGTAAGAATGATGGAAGAGAGGTTGCAATCAAGAAAATAAAAAGAAGTCAAGTGAAGGGACAAGATAAAAGAGAGATAAGTAATCTTGTAGAATTGGCAGACTGTCCACAAGTCGTGAAGTACATCTCTTTCGATGTCAGTGATAAACACTTTGTGTTCATTGTGTTAGAACTGATGGAGGGGCATCTAGACGATTATTTTCCAAGTCCATCGTTTGATGCAAGTCGAAGACCAAGATTATGCCGTGATGTTGTACAGGGTCTGGCATATTTACACCAGCACGAGCCAAAACCAATTCTTCACCGTGATCTCAAACCAGAAAACATCCTTTACAAGTTTGATAAAGATGGCAAAGTTATCGTTAAGATAGCAGATTTTGGTCTCAGTAGTCCTCTCACGACTGGCAGGACAACTGTTCTTCATTCCAAAGTAGGTACCCGTTGCTGGAT